GTCCAATGATAAACACAATTCTTTGGGGCAAGCAGCTTCTCTTTCACTGCTTTAAGTCTTAACTGCGCCTCTGTGTTGCGAAAATGTCAATGTTCCAGATTCGTTTACCACCTCGCCTCTCTCACGGGCACGCTGCTGAACTGTGATTCTCATCAGAACCACATCCAGTCTGCGACTTAAATCCCCCAATATTTGAGTCTGTGCGTTTGCAGTACGGGAAATTCCATCCAAGGTCCCTGACAGCTTTTCACAGGCCCGGACTGCTGTCAGGATCGTTTTCATTTTTTGGTAAACCAGGGTTCCTCCACAGCCGATCAGCAGGAATCCGATTATCATAAATTCAAATATAAACACATCTTCGACGTCTTCAATGGAAAGCGGGGCCAGGCAGATCTTCCACCCCCAGCTCCCAGACACATGCCCGGCCATGACGGTTCCACTGGGACAGCTGCGCTCCCCTCGCTCTAATCTCAGAGTGGAAAAAATAGTGTTGATTGCATTCAGAGGCCATTTGAACAGATCCGTAGTGCTTTTGTTGTCGAATGATAGGTAGAAGAAAGGCTTGATCCGGCAGCAAAGCAGGGYAAAAAAAGGGAGGTTCGGGAGAGAGAGCAAAAAGCGTCKGACTCCTCTGAAGMCCAAGCAGGAAAAAAAATACACACATACAAATATAACTTAATTTGCAAAATGCTTTTGCTCTGTGAACTCCACTGCATTAYTGAGTAATTTTTGAGACTCCCTGACATTGCTCAACTCACATGTGTCTTTTTTATCAGGGAATAATCTGCACACATGAATTGTTCTGTATGTATGTAAAATGTCCTGTGCATGCATGTGAGAAATGTTCTGTGCACGCATGAATCTTCCAGTGCATGTGTGAATTGTTGTGTGTGTGAATTGTCCTGTGCATGTGTGTATTGTGTTCTGTCCAGGTGTGTTTTGTTGTGTGCATTTGTGATTATCGAGACTGTTTTACCTCCATAGACCAAACCACCACTGATTTACAGTTGAAGATGGCCGTTACTGCTAACCAAACTTAGAAAAGTCAGAAAAACAAATAAACTAAAAAACAATGGCAATAACTATCAACTTCTTTAAAGTGCTGTCTGACCAGAAAAAAAAAAAAAAAACATCTTGATCATTATTAGTACCCCAAGATGGAAAAAACTCAAACAATCCATGAACACACTCAGAATTGGAAATGCGAAGCAATGAGAACAGGAAGTCCTGTGGTCACACTTCTCCTCCACAGGGACATTTAAAGACAAGGACATGGAAGAGATGGATCTGGTGCGTGTGTGTGTGTGTGTGTGTGAGAGAGAGAGAGAGAGAGAGAGAGAGAGAGAGAGAGAGAGAGAGAGCTATGAGCTGGTAATGCATTCATTATCTTGCTCAAGGACAAACACCAACCTCCTCACTCTGGACACTAACTACAACTGCTGCACAGATTCATTCAGTAATTTGGCACCGAGGAGAAGATGCTTCTCGAGTTTTCTGTCCAACAGAGCCACATAAACAAAGCAATTACTTTAAACTATAACTTTTTTAAGAACATAATGTGTGTGATGTGACAGAGGAACAAAATATCAACCATTTTCTATCCTAAGAAAGCAAAAAAATAAACAATTTATTTGATTGTTGAGGTGATCTGAAGATATAACATAACTGAAAATATGGCTTTGTATGTGACGAACAGCAGGAGTTGTCAGATGAGGATGACTCCACCATGTAGCCTGTATCTTCATGTCATCTTCAGCAGTGGTGACTGAGATGTTCTAGATTTTGAGGATCTTCTTAACTCAACCACTACATCCACTGCTGAGGAGGAAGAGTTCGAAGACTCAGGGAAAGGTCGGTCCAACGTTCTGGCAGAGGTCCCCAAGGAATTTACTGGTGGCAGGGCGTCAGGACTGGATGAGGTTCAGACCGTGGCCTTCAGCGTTCACTGGGTTGGTTTGCAGCGGGAACAGGATGAGTCTTCTCCTCTYAGTCTGAGGCCATGGTTCTCGACTGGTAAAAGATGGATCTCTGCCTCCAAGATGTGAGTGTGCCTCAAGTATCTGTGAGATTCGAGAGGAGGAAGAGGTTGGTATTGATGGAGTGCATTTAAGTTTAGCAATTTACACTGACCACCTGTTTTTCATTTGGCCCTTTTCTTCCTTTATGTCCAGCATCTCTGTTCTGGTTTTGTAGTCTGATAAACTGGAGCAAGTTCACTGAAAAGAGAATCAGCAAAAATGAGTGTATTTATATGGTGAGGATGTTTGCAGACATGTCCCTTTTTTGTTACATACAGTATATACACCCCGTGTGTCCCTCATCCCATGTGCATGCTGCCACGTAATTACAGTACATGCAGTAAATTACAGGTTTGTATACGTACATGTGTGCGTGTGGTCGGTAATAACAGGAAACTGGCTGTTCATGTTGACACAAACCTGCCCGTCTGATTGGCCACTGGATGTAAATAAACACACAAGTGACCCAGAGTTTTCCACGGGACTAAAAATAAGAAACTCTGAGCGCTTCAAGGCATCAAACCCAAACAGGAACACCTGCGGCTCACCCCGCCGCCTAATGAACCGCCATGARGACCAGCTGCACTGCACGCAAACAGTTTACAGTAAGGTTGAAGATGGGCGGCGGGGGGAGAATTTGCAGATGCCAGAGGGTTCGAATGAACACAGAGGAGCTACAGCTGATCTGAAACAGAGATTATGAAATCAGACAGGGAAGGAACACCAAGAAGAGTGAAAACTGAGAAATGACAGGAATCACAGCATTAAAAGATGGCAACAAAAAGATAAATACAGTAGATAATACAAAAAAAAAAAAAAGAAACATGTTCACTTTTAGGGTTTAAATCTGTGTATGGTTCGTTCCTTGAGTTTTTCCATTTCAAAGCAACAAAAAGCCTGCAAAAAGGAAACAATTACGTTTTATTTTTGTTTTTTGAAACCTAAATGTAAAACAGAACAAATTAAAAATCCACAATGTTTGATTTTTGCTTCAGCAGGCTAAATCCCAAATAAAATATACAGCTGTTGTTTTAGCAATACCGGAAATGACTGAAGTCACCAAAGAAGGAAAGTTTATAGCAGTTGAAAGAAATGGAAATTTTCATGGTGGTAATAATAGTTACTT